AACCGAGTGTGTCACCATTGGTCACCTCCAATGGCCCCGTGCTAGCCGAGTGTGTCACCATTGGTCACCTTCAATGGCCGCGTGCCAGCCGAGTGTGTCGCCATGGTCACCTCCAATGGCCGCGTGCCAGCCGAGTGTGTCACCATGGTCACCTCCAATGGCCGCGTGCTAGCCGAGAGTGTGTCATGGTCACCCAATGGCCGCGTGCCAGCCGAGTGTGTCGCCATGGTCACCTCCAATGGCCGCGTGATAGCCGAGTGTGTCACCATGGTCACCTCCAATGGCCGCGTGATAGCCGAGTGTGTCACCATGGTCACCTCCAATGCCGGGGGGGTACTCCAAGGCCGCGTGCTAGCCGAGTGTGTCGCCATTGGTCACCTTCAACGGCCGCGTGCCAGCCGAGTGTGTCGCCATGGTCACCTCCAATGGCCGCGTGCTAGCCGAGTGTGTCGCTATTGGTCACCTCCAATGGCCGCGTGTTAGCCGAGTGTGTCGCCATTAGTCACCTCCAATGGCCGCGTGTTAGCCGAGTGTGTCTCCTCCGTCACCATGGGTCAGCTTTGCAAAACAAGCAGCTGCAAACTGCGGTGTTTGGGCTTATAAATGTGAAGTAAAACAAACAAGTGGCGTTCCACACAATCATATCTGTCATGGCTACTTTTGTGTGGCAGCAGATGCACAAAACTTCTGTAAACACATGTGTCATGATCATGCGAAACTGCCAAGTGGTAACCAACTGTGCAACTTCCTTTTGAATTCCGAACCCCAGCTTCCCACTAGCTGGAGTCTGCAGTTACTTCGTGGCATCGGCCACTGAAGCCTGTTCCAAGTCCATGCCGTAGGACGTTATCAAGGCTTGGCTGTTCGTTGTGGACAATCCTTCAGCACCACCAAAAAAGTGCAACGTACAATTGGCTGTAGAACTGCAATTCTTCGTGTAACCGGTTACTGAAGCCAAGACAAAGCCAAACATTTACCGTGGTTTCAAATAGCGTTTGATCAAAACTCATCTGCGTCTACAGGCGGGCCTTCGGCATGGGAACAGCCCCGTTGCGATCCGACCTGGTAACCTCCGATGGTAACCTCGGACGGCGCCGATGCCCCCGCTTGCTCCGCTTGGCCGTGCGCCGTTTACGAGCCGTGCGCAGGCGTGCCAGCGGCGCGCCCCGGACGAGCCCGGCCTGCCCGCCGCGGGCCGGCGCTCCTCGGCCCGGCCCGGTGCGCCCCGCTGGGCCAGGAAGGCCTCGTAAAACACCAGGGGAGCGGTCGGAGGTGACGGCTTCATACGCCGCGGCTGGATGGGCCGGTAAGGACCGCTGGCGCGGCGGGCCGTAAACACAGCGAGGGCGGTTCGTGTACGACGAGCTGTTACTGATGTGGTGATTAGTGCTCTTTTCCACATGCTTGCGTGATGTCAGGTAATTATAGCCCCGCGGCGCAACTGGACGAAATGAGGCCTCCGTGCAGTCATCCGCTACGAATATGCGCGGTTTGCGTACTGAAAAGACGGACCGAAACCCATGGCGCACTACTTTCGAGCAGCATCTCTACGTCGCCAGTTTTTCTTGCGCTACATTACAGCCGCTACTCTCAGCGGCGCGACACTTTATTTAGCCGTTTGCACAATCTTGGCAACCCGTCGGGCATTGGCCAGCTGACCTGGCTGCTGGCCGCGCACGACGACAGACCTCCCGGCAGACCAGCCCCAACAGCCACACGCGCGCTGGGGGGCGCGGTAGAACGACTGAGGATGGCGAACGTCGTGAGTCTGAGGCCGCCACGAGGCTTATGCCGCCGCCGAAGCCCACGCCAAGCTGAATCATCGTGCCATTACTCGCCATATCCTTCCCGAACAGCCCATCGGATTATAATATAAATCGCGGATACGGCGACGTACGAAGCACGGGTAATACATTACTGAGGGTGGTCCACCCTTGTGTTAGGGGCTCGGAAGTGGGCACGTCCAGATCCACGAGGCGCCAGGCCACGCAGCCCTCCACCCATGTTATGAAGTATGCGTCTACAACGTAGTGATTTATTTTAGTCCGCAACTGAGCCATGTGGGCAAATCTTGAGTGCCTTGATTCCTTTCCCTGTTCAGTTCTATGGGTTACAGCCGCAACTAATAGCATCACAGGTCACTGAAGGGATTGCTGGGCGTAGTAATGCGTAGTAATAACTGAGGATCAATGCGATTTTACTGGATTACTGTCTCTACTCAGGATAACCACTAACCCACTCAACTGGCGCTGGATCTTGTACATTAGATGGACTCAGGATGCCTGACCAGCATGTACAGACAAGTGCGAGATGCTCCAAGTAAAGTAATATCACCTTTCCATCCCACGCCTTGCGCCCGATAGTCCGGCCCTGACGACGACCACAGCGCCGCCCGTCAAGTCCGTTCTGCATGCGTCAGCACGTCAGGAATGAAAACCGCCCCGATTTAGTAGACCAGCGCCATCTCATGCCGCGGCCCGATTACGGCCGGTAGCTGCAGCGCTACGTGAGCCAGCCCCGGGAGCCATCTCCCAGCGCACCTGCCATTCCCACCCGATAATGGCCGGCGGCAGGCCACGCTTATCTCCGGCGAGCATCGGGGCGGGCGGCGGCTGACCGCCGGCGCCGGGGACTCTCCTCTTGGCCCGGCTCCACCACGCAGCGCGGCACAATCGCCGCGCCCGCGGGCGTGTCGCGCGTCGCCGCCGTCGGGACGGTGGCAGCGCGCCAGCCGGTCCCGCGCCGACGCGCGCCCCGCCTGCTCCCTGCGGGTAATTGGCGCAGGGGTGCGTGTTCGGCAGGCTCCGAGACAGACGCAGACGCCGGTATCTTCGTTGGCTGTTTGTTTTTGTGCTGCTGTTTGTCAGCGAGACGCTGATCATCGTCTGCGGCCTGCCGTGGGGCCGCTCAGCTGAAGTCTTCTTCTTCGCGTCACACGACCATTCCTCCTCAGCGAATTAAGACATATCCGCTGCCTGATGACGCGTCGGTGGTTCCACCCAAGCAGTGACATTCCAGAGTGGACGCCGGAGTTCAGCAGCCTTACAAAATATTTCCAGTGCAGAAAACCGAGCGGGTTAATGCGTGCGTCGTCGTCTCTTTCTATCTCTCTCTCTCTCTGGCAGTTCTAGCATTCCGTTGTCGACCAATCACAAAGTGAGGACGACCCCCCCCCTCCACACCCCACCCCCCCCCCGGCGGTCATGGTGCGGGACACTGCACCAGGCCACCGCCGTCGCCACCTTCCGCGCCCAGGCGCCGGAAAATCGTGCTGACCACTCGCCGACACGGCGCCACGGCGACCGCAACACGGCCTCCGATCCAAGTCTCGACCCGCCCGCGACCGCAGAGCGGTCTCCGAGCCCCCATTCGAGGCCGTCATGACCACAGAGCGGTCCTCCGAGCCCCCATTCCGAGCCGTCATGACCACAGAGCTCCCGCCGGGCGCCCGCCGGCGGCGCAGCGCCCTCCCCGGGTCGCAGACCGCGCCCCCGCCGATCGCCCCGGGCGCTCGGGCCGCAGCGCCCAGACGCGGTCCGGGACCGGTCACGTGGTCCGTCCAGTGCGCGGCGGCCCGAGATGCGGGGCTGGTAGCGTGCCGGCTGGCAGTTGGCCCGGTCCAGCGGCAGCGATGCGCCGCTGGGAGCCGGGCGGCGATCCGTGCGGTCGGCCGGCGACCCGTGCGGTCGGCGCGGCCGCCGGCCGCTGCGGCGGACGGCCCGGCACGCTGGGGTCAGCGCGCGCCAGCGGAGTCGGGAGCCGCGCACGGAGCCGGGGCCGCGCACGGCTTCTGGGTCAGCCGTGCTCAGAGATGGCCGCCGTGCAGGCAACGGAAGTGGACGACATATGGACAGTGCAGCGTTGTCGGTGAAGACGAGCAGTCATTGGCGTGTTTAGCGATTGCAATGAGCAGGTCATAATGATGACGAGGATCACCATGTCCTCGTGGTGATAAAAATCGACGGTCGACGTCGTGGTGGTCGGCTGACTGTGCCTTCAACCACCACATTCCAGGCGCAGTCAATCTACCGCCTGCACTCCGGTTCCTCCTACGAGATTCGCATGAAATATTGCCATAGTAATGACTACGTCATCGACGCCCGTCGTTTAACAACCGACAAATTGCTATTGATGACTAGGCTTTCGGCGGATATAACTAACGTACCTAATAAGCAATCAGCAAATGAGCACATGTGTGCTGCGTTATCTGTTAGCAGGGGATGACTGTAGGCAAAATACAGCACATTCTCGTGCTTAAGCCATGTCATCCTTTTCTGCACGTAAGTTTACGCAGATTTCGTGTTTGTATTCCCGACCCAGAGAGAGTTAAACGGTGCAGTTCTTCCTTCTAATGCGATGCAATTTGAGAGGGGGTAGGTACAGAGCGTGAAGACCGAACGGTACTGAGGTACTACAGACTGTTCTAAATTTTCCATTTTCAAAACATCACATAACAACTACATAGAACCCGCGACCCCATTCACTGCGCGCGTCGCTGCATTCTCCCTCTCGAATCGAATGGAAAAGAAAATGGCCGAGTGTAAGCAATGTGCATCACAGGCTCTCATGAATATATTCAAAATCTGCATCGATATCCGCTAAGCTTGACTATTACTAAGCTCGACGATGGTGGCTTAGTTGGTACAGTGAGAGTGATAACGGATCGTGATGAGTATCGCAGGCTCCCCTGAAGACATGCAAATCAATGCCCACTTAGCTCGACCACAACAACTTGGCCAGGCGGTGAGCGCTCGGGTGCGGGTCATTAACCTCCCGAGATCTCAGGAA